CTCAAACACTCCTGTAAAATCAACCTGTTTATTCTTGGTTACAGAGGAAGAATCTGGATTTCTGAGATGGTGGGTGAATAACTCATTCAAGCTCACAAAATTAACTATCTGAACTGGTAAAGTAGAGGGGAACATTCTTTAAAGAAAAAATAAAAGGATACCCTTATGAATACTTAGCATTTAAATGATAAAGTTTCCAGAAAGAAATAAAAGATAAGAATATATGTAATAAACACAATTTTTAAATGTTCTAGGACTTAAAGTCATAAATGAACAGATCAGAAGGTCTAAAATGTGTCCACAATGTTAGTTTATGTAGATCTAAGTGAAGACAAACCTTTGGGGTAGTCAGCTTCCCTATCAGAATTTAAAAATGCCTGAGATAATTAACTTAGAAGGAGGAAAGACTTATTCTGGTTCACAGTTTTTGAGGTTCTAGTCTGTAATCAGTTGTGGGGAGGCAGCCCGTAATAATGTAAGCTTGTGTCAGGGGAAAATCGCTGACTTAACCACCAGGAAGTAAAAGGAGAGAAAGGGTACATGGGGTCCCTCACGCCTTTGAGGGCTATTGCCTCAAATACTAAAGACCCTATAAAGCCCTATTTCTCAAAGGTTCTACCTCCTGCCAAAAACATCTTCCTGGGGGTTGAGGAATTGTTATACTGCCTTTTGAGATCCATTCAATATCCAAACTATTCAGTACCCCCTACAAAGGGAAGACCCACAGAGTGAAAGATGAAATTTCTCAGTGGCAGGATGAAAGAGAGAAGAAAATGAAGCTCTGCCTTCAAAATTCTAAAGAAATCTGATTGCCTACCTAGAACACCACGCCTCTCCAAGGAGCAGCCTATAGTTGTAGAAGAGAGACATGTCAAAGATTGTCATAGAAGCCACCTTCTTATACTGTTGCAAAATACCACCAGAGTATACCTGCCACGAAAGGAAACAGTATTCAGGGATGGGAAGCAGAAGACCAAATGGAAGAGATAGGTAAAGGGGACCCCACAGTCCCCAAACTGTGTACTAAGAGTAGAACATGCTACACATGTGTGGCAAGGACAATGCTGTTGTCACTATGGTGGCCCGAGAGTCCCAGAGATGTTTAGTGCCTTCTTTCCTTTTAGTGAAAATATCCATGGAGATGAGGTGTCCTGACAGTAAGAACATATGTTTCCTAAATAAAGAGCCAATCCACAACCTGGTACTGCTCGTTAATCAAAAACCTGAACAGGAGATTAAATGTGAATTAGGAAACATAAAGCAGTGAAGGAAAAAAAAAAAAACAAGTACAGAAGGAAATGGAGGATAGTTCATTCCAATAAATAGACATAATACTATGTCTTTGAGACACAAGTACCCACTTAATGATCCTCCAGACGAGAGGACGTGGCCTCTCATTTCTCTGCTTCCCCTGAATCGGTAGTAGGGGTACTGGCCAAACTTGCACCATACAGAATAATAATAAAAAAAAAACAGGAAAAAGATTTATGATCCTCAAAACTGGGATTCTGCTACAGAATGATATAATTAAAGAGGCCACATGGATTAAAAAATGTGAATGCCAGATCTAAAAATATTGGTAGATAGTTTCTCTGTTCAAATAATTTTGTAGTGACTTGTAAACTACTTGCATACAAATGTAAAAGCTTTACAGTAAAATGCAGTTTATAAAATGAATGTTTATAAAGTGGTAGGAAACCCAAGTAGACAAACAATGAAAATTTAGAAATATGTTCATATTTTAAAAATACTTCATAATAGACCCTAACCTGGACAATATAATAAGTTATTTCGATCTTCAAGGAGTGCGAAGAGCTGCCCAAACATTTGTAGAAAAAAAATGTAATTAATGCTTTAGAATTTATGCTGAAAAGCATTATGGGTGAATTAAATATTATAATGTAAAATGACATGCTAGAAAAGCTATATGAAATACGGTATGTGAACATATTTATCCATATAATATCCCTTGTACCCTTTGAGTAGGAAAAACCTCCTCAAGCACATTCAAATAGCACATTCTAACAACAAATTGGTCAGAGTCTGTGGAAGGTGGAAGACGCTTCCTTACCTGTGTTAGGAATAGGACACCAACAATGATTTAATGCTAAATAATAGACAGAGGCGGTTATTTTTTCTTTTTTTTTTTTTGTATTTAAAAAGATATCATCTAAACCCTTATTCACAATGAATTCCTAAATAAAAACAGCAGCTAGGGATACTACTGTGAAGAAGGGAGATTGAGTATTGTCAAGAAACATAAAGAATGAGAAATTAGTCATTCATAGGAAAATGAATGCCTATTGAGGTTATACTCTGAAGTGAAATAAATAAGTCACACATGTGTAAATACTGAATAGTTTCTCTGGTGTGAAAAACTATAATTATAAATAAGATCCTAATGGTATAATTGACAATGTGCAATAGGAAGGAAAGGGATAAAGGTGTAGGGGAAGTGGGAAAGGGAGGGGAAAGGAGGAAATAAGGAAAAAAATAGGAGAAAAAGAAAAATTGATATAAAGATTTGTAAATAGGGAAGGGAGGAGGGGGTGAAGGGAGGGCAGGGACAAGGGGGGAAAATGAGAACCAAGGCCTGACATGTAAAGGTACAAGATTCCCATGATGAATGTAACTGTACTGTATATCTAAAATGCACCAATAAACTCAATGAGAAAAACAAACAAACATTGCTTTCGCAAAAGAATCCAGAGATTCAAAGCAATTCCAGTTGAAAGCTCAGGAGTTTGTGGGATACACATTGGGCTTATGATCACCTAGGGGTGCAGAGACCTGGAAGGGAAACGCCCTTGTATGTGCGCCCCAGGTTCGTCCTGGGAAATGGGCCATCTGCAGCAGCTCACTGCTGACCGCTCCACCCTACCTGGGTGCTGGTCCACCCCACATCTCCACAGATGCAGCTTCGATTAGGCAAGTATTCATGGTGGTAATAAAAGATTAGGTAAGCGAAGTCATGCACATTTTTTATCATTAGCATGCACAAAATCTCAATAAAGGACTAGTGCTGTCCTTCCCTCTCCTCATCTGCACTGTTGTAAAAACAGTCACACTCTTAATGTACCTCATGCCTGCCATGCCAAGACACATGGCCATACATCGGGTGGCTACTGGGCAGCTGGTCCACTCTTAGCATCTGGTCCGGGGAGCGGAGTTGCCACTGGGTGGAAGGAGTAGGCTGTCTCCATAAACTCTGAGGATGAATGGGGCTTCCAGGGTGTTACACCCCCATCTGGGGAGGAGCTGACATTGTCAGAACCCAGCCAACAAACTGGGGTTCTCCTGCTCAGCCAGATCAGTCTCTGCCTTGTAGTTCCTGTTTTTTTCTTTTTACTCTGTGGGTCTCCATCTGCTTCAACATGGTAATACTTTAAATACCCTTTTGTCATTCAAAACAATTGTCACTTTTTCCTACATTTCTAGCTCCATCAGATTCAAAGTGGAAATATAAATAAAGAAAAGAGCCCTTTTCACTTCACCTGTTGTACAGAAGTAACATTATGGGACATAGTATTTTCCTACTGATATATTTACTACTTTATTATATTTTATGTTATTAATTTGGTACCTCTTGGTTCCGTATCATATAAATCTTCTTTGTGTCTCGTGTTACCTAAATACATTTCTGAACTGCAAAACTAATGTCCATTTATATGACTCATTAGTGAGTTGAGTTGTATAATATTTAATGCATAGTTTAATAGTATAAAACATAAAATATAGAATAGGGTTTTCATAAATACGCAAGAGGTCTGCACTTATTAAAACTCTTTTGTTGAAAAATTAGCCTATAAATTTCTATGAAAATCTGACTTTCCCCTCATTAAATTTGTAAATACTGAATTCAGTGCCTCTATGTGTATCACTCTGAATTTCTATTCAACGTTTCCTTGCTTTGGGAGAAAAAGACACTAAAACACCCATGTGTTGGGAAATGCTACAGAAAAAATTTAAGAATGAGCAACTCAAAGTTTTCTTACAGGTGAGTTGCATTAGGCACAGCAGATAATGTGAGAATCACTTCACAGTATTTTGTGAAGTCTCTGCTTATTCCTAGGATACTCTGCCTTGCTTGTAAAGTGTGGAAATGAAAGCAATTTGCATAAGTCATTCAGCCAGGACCCAGATAACTCATAACATATAGAACACAACCTGAGCACCTTTCCAGAAGGATGTCTTGCTCATATCAGATAAATGTGATATACACTAACCCACAGTCAAATGCCATGGAAGGCAACACAGAGGTTGCTGAGGACAACCAGAATGTCATAAGATTGGAAACTTCTGTAAAGGGCCTTGTATCTGTATGCTTTCTTATTATTTAAATGTTTCAAGCTATTATTTTGCTAGATTAAACGCTTCACACCCTGTTACTTTGCTCACTTTAGATTGCAGCGATATTACTGTATAACTTTGTGCACCTTGAGTTGCTTGGATTCCCTCTCTCTAACCCTTCTCCAGGCTCCACATTGGTTCTCCGTACGTTTTGTACCACCCTTGAGCTGCCGTGGAATCTCAGCATTGGACTGCACTATCCGCTCTTGGACACAAGCCTGCTCAGATGGGTACCAGATTCGTAGCTTCTGTTTCTTCCCCACAGGACCATGTAATCAGTCACTTAGGGGACAATGAGATGGAGAGGAAGAGGCCAAGAGAGTGTCAGATTATGGCAAGGTACACGGGAAAGCTAGTCATCACAAGAATGCTATTGTTGTAATTGTGAATGTATAGAGTTCCTGATCGGCTTGCTACATATGTGAATTAAAGAGCCCTCTTAGAAAGGATGGTAGAGGCCACTTTGTCCACTGAAACATACAGGAAGCATTTGATCTTCCAGGTGTTTCCATAGAAACACATAAAACACCAGCCAAAGTGATGCCAGGCCCTTTAATACAATTTTCCATTGCCTGTGATTTTAAACATCAGATTTTATTTTTTTTTCCAGTTCAAGATTATGATTTTCTTCTTGAAGTTAACTGGTGCCCTTGCTTCCACAGACTCCAGGGTGTAGCTCATTGAAGTGCAGAATATAAGAAACCACTGCTTTAGAACAATGCATCTTGATTCTCCCATTTCTATGATATGTGGCTCTCAGCTCTAACACAGACATCCCCAGGTTATTAATTAGATACCTGTGTAGGGACCGAAAGAGACAAAATTACCCTAGCGGTATTGAAAATTAGGACTTAACATGCAACGTGCCTGAGAGGAATTTCTATGGCCCACCAGGCCAAGAGATCGAACTTGGGATACATAGTCAGTAGCTTTTCCTGCTGTGTCCTGGTGAAAAGCTCTCCGTGGCTCTTTGATCTTTTCTTATTGCTTTTATCTCATTCGAAAATGCAAAATCTTTTATTCCAAGGCTGGTTTTTTCCTTTGAGGCACCAGCCTCATCCCCTTCTTTCAGTTACTTAGATATCACGACCGGTCAGTGCGACACAAATACGGTGTGTGTGCTGGGTGCACGTTCACTAGTGGCTCGATGCGTGACTGCAGTGGCGAGGCTGGACAGCTCTCACTCTGTGCAGGGTGCGGGGGAGGGGCAGGATGGAGGCACCGCTGATGCAGCACCCTCGGGAGAGAAGGACAGGGCCTGAGGCAGGTGGGGAAAGTGTAGGAAATGGATGCCGTGGAGCAAACCCTGCGCTCCGCCCACAGAGACCACCTGGGCTGGCACGCCAACCGCCTCATACTCTAGGCTAAGCATTGCCGCTGAGAAGATCAGCACACCACTTCACCTCCTGGAGCCACAGTCCTTTTCTCTCTCTTCTGTCAAATGAGGTGGTCGGAACTGCTGATTTCCATCTCCTGCTCCAGCCATTCAGCCCGGTTCTCTGCAGGAGGGGCCATCGGAAGATCCTCGGAAATTCACCGGGTGAATTCTTCCTTCCGCTCCTCCCTGGAAGCTGACTTTGGAAAGCGCTTGTTCCTTTTCTTGGCTCATCTTCCGGAGGTGGCATTCACCTGGGAGCATATAACATAGGGGTCCTTTTACTCATTTTCCCAGGAGGATGGCCAGGCAAAATAAAAGGAGTGGATAATATACAAAGCTGAAGGGATACATTTTTAAGCTGATCTCATACAGCTTGGTGACTAGAGTAGGCTGGGGATGGTAGGAGGAATAGAAGTTGGGGAACTGCTGGTCAAAGGCATCTGGTGTGAATCTGCATGGCAGGGTGAATGCAGGAAACAACTGTGTGCCATATATTTGGAAGGGCCGGAAGTAGAAGCCCGACCTAAGCAACAGTGACTCAGTGGGACTCTGTCTCCAAATAAAAAGTAAAATAAAAGAGGCCGTGGATGTGGCTCACTGAAAAGGCCCTCAGTTCAATTTCCACTACCACACACATGCCAAAAAGAAGAAAGGCCAGGATAAAGGACTTTCAAAGTTCTCACTCCCAAAACGATAAATGATGAAGGAGTCAGACACGCTTACTTCCTTTTTTTTCTTCTTTTTTTTTTGGAGACAGGGTCTCACTGTGTAGTTGAGACTGACCTGGAACTTACTATGTAGTCCAGGCTGGTCTCAAACTCACAGCAATCCTCCTGCCTCAGCCTCCTGAGTGCTGGGATTACAGGTGTGAGCCACCATGCCTGACTAGACATGCTTACTTCTATTTGAACATTGTGAAATGTACACAGACAGAAAAAAAGAAAAAAAATCACGTGAGCAGATACGTGCAATTTGCAATTTTGTTTTTGTAGATGAGACAAAAATGAAATTTAATTTACATTTTTATAAAAGTAAATGTCTTAAATCAATATGGAGAGACCTCAAAGAACTAGGATTAGAGGTCCCATTTGACCCAGCCATCCCACTGCTGGGTATCTTTCCAAAAAAGTTAAAAGAATTATACCACAGTGATATATGCTCACCCATGGCTATACAGGCACAGTTTGTAGTAGCTAAAGCTTGGAAACAGCCCAACTGCCCATCAACTGGAGACTTGATAAAGATAATGTGTTTTTTCTATAAAATGGAGTACTACTCAGCCATAAAGAATCTAGAAATCATTCATAGAAACTAGTCATTCATAGGAAAATGTATTCATAGTGAGGCCATACTCTTCGGTGAAATAAATAAGACACATATGTGTAAATACGAGTCTCTCTGGTGTGAAAAATGAAAGATGTAAATTGTATAACTGATGATTAAAATAGGAAGAAAGGGGCTAAAGGTGTAGGGGAAGTGGGAAGTGTAGGGAAACGGAAATAAGGGACAAGAAAAAATATAAGAAAAGGAAAAAATGGAAACATAGTCTTTTTAAATAGGAGAGGGTGGAAGGGGTGAAAGGAGGGCAGGAGTATGGGGACAAATGAGAACCAAGATCTTTCATGTAAAGGTACAAGTTCCCAATGATGATGAGCGTAACTGTACTCTATACTTAAAAAGTACCAATAAACAATAAGATTAAAAGAAAAAAGTAAATTTCTTAGATATTGACCCTGGCCAATTCTCCATGCGTTCCTCTTGACCTGCAATGGCTGATCTAATTCAGTCTTATGTTAAGACAAAATCTGAGCCCCGTGTAACGGTCGCCCCTACCCTCTCCACCTAAGGCCTCACGTAAGCGTCCTTCGCTTGCCCTTGGGAGCATGCGCACCAGAGGTCTCTGTTGGGAGTGTGCCTTCCCAGGCTCCCTCTGACCTCGTCCTTCACTGGCGCACTGCTGTCAGCTCTAAGGAGGCATTTTGGATGAATATTTAAGAAATTCTGTTTTTCACACAGTATTTTTTTTTTTCTTGGCATCTTAGGTGGGAAAAAAAACCCTTATGGACCTCCTCAATCCCGTGTCTGGCAGATTTGCCTAGCACAGACTAGGGGGAGACCTAATCAGCCTGAGTCGGGAGGGACACATTGCTCTGGAAAGAGATCACTCTGGAGCTTCTGCTCTTATACTGTGGAATCGATAAGCCACACGAGAATAAGAAATTGAGTGGAAAGGAAGGCTGCGCTGGCCATGCTGAGGTTAAATAAAGGACACTCAAAGAATTTCTTTCCTGGTCCTCTTAAATATTCAGCTTACTCTGTGCTCGCACAATAATGAAATTCCATGGCTCAGGGTAAAAAATGACCTCTTGTCCGGATCCACTTTAAGGAAAAAAAAAGAGATATAAGTTGATATATTTCCCCACTGTGCTTGCCAAATATTAAACACTAACTCTGAAAGCGATAAAGGGATGGACGTCCCAGGTACCAAACTTACGCAATGTGCCCCTGGATTTTAGCTCAGACAGTGTAAATGGAGAACCATTAAATGACTTGGATCATGCAGAAACACCCAGAACACTGGTAAAGCTGCACTATTTATTAGAGATATTTCCGAAAACGATGTTTCCAAGAGCAGCTCCAAGGGAAAAACAGAGATTCGGATCCTTGGTTGAGTGAATTTATCTGAGTGGCAGAAAACTCGCAGCCCTCCTCTTCCTGCCTCCTGGGACTCATAACTATCTTCTGAAAGCAGCAGGGATTATCTAAGAGGGAGTTGGGCACTGATGCCCTCAAACTGAAGAACTTAATGTAAGTTATTGAGAACTGGTAATTTCATATCACCTTCCAAAATCTAATGAATGGCTTCATGTGCTGTTTGTTGGTGTGTGTGTGTGCGTGTGTGTGTGTAAAACAGCTTTGCTGACATTTAATTTACATGTCATAAAATCCATCCATTTACAGTATGTAATTTCTTATTTTTAGTATATTTAGTTACATTTTATTTTAAGATGTTAGAGAGGAGGATTCAGTAACCAATAACCAACACCCATAAAGTTTCAAGTAATCAAGATGAGTAAGCGCTAAGAATTTGCTCTACAATATTTTACCTCTACTCAACAATACCGTATTCAAAATTAAAATTTGTTTCAAAGGTGTATGTATTAGTCAGCTTCCCTGTTGCTGGACACAATGCCTAACACTCACAACTATAAAGGGAAGAGGTTTAATTTGGCTTATGACTTTAGAGAATTCAGTTCATAGTTCATGGTATCTGGTTCCAAGGAAGACACAGCCTAGAAGAAGAGTGTGGTGAAACAAAGATGCTTAGTTCATGGCAGCCAGGAAACAAGGCAGTGTCAGAGAGGAAAGGGCAGGGATCCAGTAGAGACCCAAGATCTCACTTAACAGGACCCACAGACACAGCCAGAAGTGTGCTCCTCCAATCCCCTGGGCAGCTACCAAACAATTAAACTGACATAGGGTAGAGCCCACGTTAAATGTTCTTCCCACCAGAAGATAAAAATTGTTTTAAAAGAATGTTTCAGTTAATTTGCATTTTTTGCATTTCCATGTAAATTTTTGCCTCAGCTTATTTATTTCTGAAGCAAACCAGCTGGCACTTTGACAAACTGGTTTGAATCTGTAGATTCAAAGGAACTATATCATCACTTAAATAATATACAGTCTTGTCACCCATAAACATAAGATCTCTTTCCACTTGTGTAAATGTTCTTTCATTTCTTCCAACAAATTGTGCGTTTTGGTGGATGTCTTGCATCTCTTTTAAGTATAATTCTATAATGATTTTTTTTTTTTTGTACCAGGGATCGAACTCAGGACCTTGGGCTTATGAGGCAGGCGTCGCGCCCCTGAGCTAAATCCCTGCACTCTTCTTTTAAGTATAATTCTAAATATTTTATTGTTACCCATGATACTATAAAAGAAAATTCTAATTTCATTCACCAAAATTTCCTTGCCCTTCCCTATAAAAAGAAACAGACAAAAGAAGAAAATGAACTTAATTGAAATGATGAGTGACATGTAAGGATGCTGTCTTAATGTCTGAACTATCTCAGTGATAATGAGGACATTCAGAGGACTATGGCGAGGGATTGCTGCCTTTCTCCCTTGAGTTCCCCAAGAACCAGTTCCTCTATACCCACCTGTAGCTGTTATCACCAGTGTTTTATGTTCTTCTATTTAGAAAACAAAGAAAATGTCTCAGTACGTACAGCCTCTTGCTCCATGCTTGGAAACAAAGGGTCGTTTTAGTTCACACCCTGCCACAGAGAGAGAAGCAACTGTTAAATCTGTGCCAAGGAATTTGAAAGTTGCTGACCTTAATATCTGCATTCATTTTCAAGCCTTGTGATTGCCTACATTACAAAGTCTATACCATAATCTTCAGTTTATATAGAGAGAACTCAAGTAATTCAACCAAAGCAATAATGATAGCAGAGCCTATATTTGAGTTAAGTTCTGTTTGCTTTCTTTCCTTTATGAGAAGAGCAGCAGGAGCCATGCCACCAGGCTGGCTCCAAGACCCCCCAGTGAAGAAGTAATCATGGAGAGTATCTAAAGGACATATGTGTTGCAGAAAGAGCTGGTACCTGTCCCTTCAGATAGACATTCAGCCTCTTAGCAGAAACAAAAGCATTTGTTAGTTTTGGGGTCTTATGGATGGAACCCAGGGCTTCAGGGATGCTAGGCAAACTCTGTATCACTGAACTGCAACTTCAACCCCAGAGGCAAAGTTTAGAGCTTATCCTTAAGATACTGAATTTTTCTCTCATATGAAATATGTTCATATGAGCTCACTGTTTTAATTTTTCTAATAAAATACATTATTTCCATGCAGGATCATGAAGCATTCTCACTAAAATATGATGATCAAAGGTTACTGTGAACAATCTTGTAGCCAATGAAGGAGTCCAGATCTTTCAGGTAGTGCGGTGTAAGGGATAGAAGCCCAGGACACCCAAACTGCATTTCTGCATCCTAAAAATTGGGAAAAGCCTAGAAAAATTATAACCAAAGGCCTATGGTGTTTAATATGTCATTTGAAAAAAAGTGATAAAGAAAAATCATTGGAAAAGAAATCAAGTTGCCTTAGTTTTTGGAATAGTTCAGACCAAATTTAATCCAGTGTGCACGTTCAATTTTAGGAAAATATGTGGCAAAAAAACAAAACATCATAGAAATAAAAAACTAACACAAAAAAGTGCTTTATCGGAAATAACTTTAATTTCAGAAAAAGAGACTGTGACAGACAAAAATATTTTTATGAGGCAGGAAGCACTCAAAAATGTAATTATGGCGATGCATGAGACTAAAATTGGAAATGAAGTTGGAGGTTCCCCAAGAAAATAACATTGCAACAGCCTAGCACTCAGGTTATACGATAGTTGTGGAAGATTTTTGTATTAGTGGATTTTTAAAAATAAGCCAGATGGAATACAAGATTTTTAAATAGGCCTTTCGAATACTTGAAAGACATTTATAAAGGAAACATTGTAACTTTGTGGGAACAACAAAATGAATTGTTAGGTTTAACAAAAGCAGAAAGGCCACCCACTATTTAGGGCTGAAAATTCAGTAATATTCACAATAATGACCACTTACTGAATGCTTAATTATACTGTGCTAGTTCCTATGGTGCTACTGACAGTAACAATACTGGCAGTTATGAATAGACAGGTGGACAAAATTATGATTTGACTGCAGAATAAATTAATAAAATATTGTGTGAGTCTTAGTACAGAAGAAATGATCCTTTGGATGTAGGTCAAGTTTACTAAGTTATCTCCATGAGACTTAACTCATTTCCTTTTTGATAGCAACCACAATTAGAGACAAAGAAATAAGGTAGAAAAACATAATCTGCTGGACACTGGTAAATGTCAACACAGCCACACACAGTGTGTCTACGACAAAACCTTTGAAGGTCATAAACAGTAAAGCCCTAGACTTTTAAAAAATAGTCAGCACAGTAATTATTGAACTGCGTAGTGCACAATACTGAAAATGCTAATGAAAGGCAATTATGTATGTGAATTTCAAATCATTAAATTAAGCACATTTTCCAATAAATGTTAGCACCCTTCTCTAGAATGTGTGTGTTTGTGCATGTTTCTAATGAGACAGGATAATGACAAACAAACAAATATGTGTTCAGAGGAGAACATCTGGGAATCACAGTGGTAGACGGCTACCCCTTCCCTTTGTCACTCTGTTTGAGAGCAAAACCCGTCGTACATTTTGGAAATTATGTATTTTGCCGGACCATGAAGGTGACTTCCAAATTGGAGGCTGCAAATCATCATCGCTAAAAATACAGATATGTTTATTTATAACTCCTTTATTTTTCTTGGATTTTAATATGCTTAAGGACCAGCACAGCATTTGAAATCCTTTGAAAATCTCAGGACCTCAATCAAGGAATGCACTCTGTGGTGGCTTCATACATATTTATTGACCGACTGACTGACTGAATGAGGGGAAAGACAGAATATCAGAGAATACTTGTGCACACAGCCACTGACAGTGTTAACGCTGGACTCGGAAAAGCCTGGAAAACACATGGAAAGAGGCCTGGATTTCTGGAGCCCTGCTCCCCCAGGAAGGGATTCAGCATGTCTTTGTGAATATGCTATCAGGATACTCCAAAGGCATTTCTCAAGCTCTCTATCCTGTGGCTCAAGGTCTACTCCTCTGTCTTTTGGGTGCCCTGATTTTTATTTTCAGCACTTCTTACCAGTTCTCTGTCTTTGAGGACCTGCTTCCCAAAGAGTGAAATTCACATGCT